CGATCATAGGATTAAAAAAAATATCGATCAAGTATTACAAAAAAATACTATCATGGATTACAAAAAAAAAAAAAAAAAAAGAAAAAATTCCGTACGGGACTCGTCGATTCACTGTACGGACTCGCCGATTTTGTACAGTAAATCGGCGAGTCACTGTACAGAATCGTCCGGTTCTCTCTAGAACCAGACGATTCCAATTTTTTCGCCGATTCGATCCGTCTATGGCGATTTCCGAGTCAAACCGGGCGAGTCCAGTTAGAGTCGGCGTTTTTTTAAACACTGGTTATATATATTTGAAATAGGCACTTTAGGTATATTCCAATTTGTGATTTGTTTTTCAATATTATCTATTACAACTTCTTCTTTGTTTTTATCTTTAGAGTATTACTAGCTTGTGGTAATGTATTACTTGATAGATTCCTAATGAAATTTGCCATTATTAGGTTGCGGATGAGTGTTATCTGGACAGTCCTCCTTGACTACCTCTTATGCCTGTTTCGACCTCAGCGGCTCTCCTGACCTTAACGGTCTTTAGGCTGGGTGTCTGAGCGTCTCTAACCTCAACCCTCGGACCAACTTTCTCTAATGGTAAATATCAGTAGTGTTTCTACCTCATAATATACTAACACTTACTATTAATGCTTCTTAAATAAGAAACAAAGATGTATGTCGTTTATAGAGTTTTAAAACAGAGTTGGCTCTGATACCATTTAACGCCAAGATCTACTCTGATATATTTTTAACCTAAATCTATCATATAAGATTAACAAGACATGAAAAAGTAAGACTAAATTAATCTGACATAACCTAGATATAAAAATAGTAAGATAATTATGACGATTGAAAAAGGAGCTATATCTATGACTAACCAAGTAGAATAGGTATTCTCATATATTTTAACACTTAAAACAGGACTAACATAACTTTATTTAGGCATAAATTATACAGACTAACATATTGCGTACAGAAACAAGTTTACAGTGACAACACACTGTGTACAAAGACTTAGAAACAAAGAACATAAATTTACAGTGACAACATAAGCTTACAATGATAACATACAGTGTACAAAAACTTAGAAAAGAATAAACTTACGGTGTACAAATGCAAAAACTACAAAACGACTTCCACTCCGGTGGACAATACCTTGGTAAGTCCTTGAGATGACAATCACACATTACACACTAAAACTATTTTACAATAGAAAGGGGGAGAAGAAGAAGAAAGCAGGAGGAAATATTTTTCTGAGCTTGCTTTTCTTCCGATGCTTCAAATACGAAGAGACCTTCTATTTATAGCCTTCGGACTTCAAATATTTCTTCATTGTGTTGCAGTTTGCAATTATTTTGAATGGACGTTACAGGTGGCAATTCTTAATGTGAAGATCGACGAACCGTTCAGAGAGGGAGGTGGAGTGGATTGGGGCGACTTCATCGATGCTATTTTCGACTCTTAACCAGGAGAACGGTGTGGATTTTAGCCGTAGTGAGATCTTAGCTCTGCTCTCTGTACGGCAGTACTCTTGCCTCTACCATGCTGAAATTAGAAAGTAAAGTAAGCCACACAGGGGCATGGTTAGTTGTCGAACACAGGGACATCCACCATCCGTTTTTGCAAAACGGATATTGTTAACTCTATTTCCTATTGATGAGTGTTTTATAACTGGGAACAACTAATCTCCATTACTCATCACGAATGGATGGAGGATGCTCCTGTGGTTAACCATACTTCAATCAAAGAAAACCAGTGTATGGTATAGTCTTTTTCATGTGAAGTCAAAAGAATCCCCATCAAATATTGCAAATTGTGGTCCACCGTGTGTGGTCGAGGGTCGAGGATCATTTCAACTCTGGTTTGGTCTCATATCTCTGTGGTCGATGGCAAACAGGTTGGGTAAGTTTTGAACCTAGTGGATTCGGTCTGGGTCTAAAACCCTCAACTAGATTGGGATCCGGGTTGGGTAAGGGTCCAGGTTGAGCCACCCCGGACATGAAAAGAATATTTATGCACAAATACATATATATGTATTCACACACACACACACATTTATATATATATATATATATACATATATATATATATATGAGCAGTAATTTCATACAACGATTGTATAGTAATATAATACAACAATCTTCAAAAACCATGTTAAGATTATTAGTTTGATCCAAATTTTAAAATATACGCTCTTTTCATTCTAATGAACAATTACAAAAAGGAAAAATTTGAAAACGCAAACTAGAAACTATATATATTTGAATACTTTCAAAATAAAAATAAAAATTGCTGGGTTATAAACCTGTTTCAAGTTTTGGAATAGATAGGTTAGGTATGGGACCAGACCAGGACCGGACCTGACCAATTGCCTCCTCTAAACTACTGTGGAGTGGGCAATGGCTGAGCTCCTTCGAACCCTGACAAGATGACCATGGCTAAGATGGAGCTCTCAAGGACCACCGTTGGTGGCCCTTAGCACTAGTGGAACAGTCAGACATATCTCAACTCCCTTACTTACAGGCAGTGGTGAAGGAGATATGGCAGCTCCACCCCCATGTACAGCTTCTCATCCCCCATAAGACTGATACGATTGAAAATGTTGCCGAATACATTGTACCGAAACACACACAAGTACTAATCAACTATTGGGCCATTGGAAGAGACCCTAAAGTATGGGATAATCCTATCGCCTTCTTGCCGGAGAGATTCTTGGGTTGTAATGTGGATTACAAGGGGAAGGATTTCCAATTTATTCCGTTTGGGGCGGGGTGGAAGACATGCCCTGGCCTTCCTCTTGGGGTTCGCATGGTGCACTTGATGCTTGCGTCTTTGTTGCATTATTTTGATTGGGAGCTTTCTGGTGGATTGAAGGCAGAGGAGATGGATATGAGGGATAAGTTTGGTGTCACCTTGCAAACTTTGGTTCCACTTCGAGCCATCCCTAGTGAAGCTCGGGATTTGCAATGTGCATGATACTTTATATGCTTGAAAAGTGTTTTTTTGTGGTTGTTTTTTAGTTTTTTTTTGGATTGTATATTATGAGACCATTTATTTTTGTTGAATTATCTATAGAGAAACTATTTATCTGTTGTACATGGAGGTCACAATTATTTTTATCCTTTAAATTTCAAAATGAGTGGTTGTAAGAGTGTCATTAAATAGGAAAAAAATCTTAAAATGATTTCTCAAAGTGATTAATGACTCACCCCAAGCCTTCTAATTTGCCGTGTAATGTGTGAGAATGATTGTGACCTCTATGTACATAAGAGAAATGATCTCTTTGTAGACAATCCCTTATTTTTTGGTGAGGTGATGGAGGCCACACAGCCAATGTCAATTGCTTTCCAAGCATTGTTGTTCTTATGCACAAGCTTGAGGAGCTCATGGACCTTGCGGTGGCGGAGGGTTTGTAGGGCATTGAGATGCTGGGTGTGGAAGAGCTGAGTGTTGTACAGGCGGCGGAGGGTGCGCCTGTAGGGGCCGACTTGGGCCCATGCAATCGAAAAGTGACCATGATGGCCACGAGGGTGGTGCGCCCCGTCAAGGCCTGGTCATTCTTTTACAGCACCTCCTTGGCCATGTCCGACGATGAGACGATTGTGGTGAGGTAGCCGAGTCGGAGCATCATTAGGGGACTGTGTATCTCAATGAGGGCAGCAAGGGCCTCATTCGGTTTTTTGCCGAGCTTGTGGAGGCTGCTCACTATGGGGAGGCTGCCCATTTATCAGTTCAAGTTTTACCTAGCACCAATACAATATATATATATATATATATATATATATATATATAAAAGTTAGCCCACTAGCTAACAGCTACATTGTTAGTCAAATAATTTCCAATGGTCACAATTGTATTTCGTATTTATATTTGCATTTATTTTTTTGAAATTTTGAACGTCTATTCTTCAAAAATAAGCGAATTTAATAAAAATATAAACAAATAATATGAAAAAAATATACTGACCAAAATACCCCCAAAACTTCGCAGAGGTATTTCGATCAATTTATATTTTGCATATTATTTTTTAAATAATTTTATTAGGCGAGCCTTGATGAGAAGAATGAATGCGTAAAATTTAAAAT